ACCCCCCCGCATTGCTCCGTGGCGGGGGCAGGGAGCCGGCCAGTGCGGGTGCCGCTGCCCTGGCCCCAGGGCCAGCCGTGGAACCGGGCAGCGGAGCAGGCCGGCGAGGTCCCGCCTGGAGACTCTGCCCTGTGTTGCCATTTGTACCCTATTAAGTGTGACTTTTTGAAGGATCTGAGCTCGGCCTGCTGTGGAAATAAACGCTTGTGTTTTCTGCCTTGTGCGTGTTTGTGGCCGTTGCTCTCTGAGAACAGCATCTCCCACCCATTCTGCCTGTAGTGAAATGGCAACCAAGGGTGTCAGGACGGGAGAAGTTATGGTGTATGGAAGGAATCTAACGTGGCTTTGGCACAGCACTGTCTGGAACACACTGGAGTCTCCACAATCGCTTTCCCCTACAGTTTCACTCTGTTCTGAACTAAGTGGGTCTATATCAAGTTTTTTTTCCTGAAGTCAATTAATGAAAAATAAGTCTATTGTTACATTAATACGTTGGTAGGTTAGAACAGCTCATTTTAAGCTTGTGTTTACAGTTTATTTCTTAGGTAGCTTTCCTTGGAGTTGGGGTGTCACCGTGCACAGGAAGTGTGAAGCCTATGTTTGTTTTATAAATTAGGAAAAAATAAAGCAGACATAAGGAGATCAAGAACTGCTTGACGTGAAGGCCTCCAGTTTGCCTTGGCGACGTGGAAATGTTTTGAACTTTGTTTTTAGACTGAAAAGCTATAAGCAACTTTGAAAACCACGTTAATGATTCTAGGTGAAAGAAGTGAGAAATAAAGGCAGACTTTCTTATTTTTTTTTGTTCCCTTTTTTTTTTCCCCTTTCCCAGCAAAATCGAGTAGGAAACTTACTTTCCTATATTTAGCAAACGATGTCATCCAGAACAGTAAGAGGAAAGGTCCTGAATTTACCAGGGAATTTGAATCTGTTCTTGTGGATGCTTTTTCTCATGTTGCCAGGTATGTTGCTGTATTATGTATTTCTTCAACTTTTCTCTCTAGACATTGGCATTGGTGTTATACAAAGTTTAATTCAATTGGATTTTGTTGTTTTTTTTTTTTAAGTCTCAGTGATGCTTGTACTCTCTCTGCTAGAGATTAGGTTCTGACTGCTTTGCGGCTGGGAACTGTTTAGTGTTAATATTTGGGCAAACTTATTTGTATGCAAATCAGCCCAGCTTTACACATTTGTTCTCTGCGTGCAACTCCTATGTACTTTATTTTAATTGTTATCAAAAGACCTTGCAGATCTGTTCATGGGTAGTGAAATTGCATAGTTGCATGTATTTATTAAGGCCACGTAATGAATGGCTTTTGCCCATTGTCAGAAGACTTCAAAGAGCTGATATTTTGGGTCACTGGACTCTCATCACTCTTCTGGTTTGAGCACGGTTTCTTCTTGTATTGCTTGTTTTAATGGTTATCTGATCGTTAGTCTCTTTGCTAGAGGAAGGAAGAAATTTATATGTAAAAGACAAGAAATAATGCAGCTACCATCCTATAAAAATGGACTATCATTTACTCAAGATTTTTCTCTAAGTAGCGTAATAATTCCTGTTATCTCAGCTAAACATCTCTGATGCTCTGTGTGCTTAGTGGTGTGCTGCTCTGGATGGCTGTCTGACGTTCAATGTGGAGATGAGTACATTTAAGTGCCTAATGAACCAAACAGCCTGCTTTTTAATTGGGATGTTACTGAGTGAAACGACTCTTTAAAGTTAATACTCTGAATTGTAAATGTGTCAACTTGGGGGTGTTTTATAACTCTTCTTGCAAATTCTGGATGATAGCAAGTTTCTTCCTTCAATACTTTCCTGCCCTTACCGTGGGGTGGGAATGTGGGGCACTTTCAGGCAATCTGTGGCCCAATAAAGGGGGAAGATTGGCCCCAGATGTGTTTTGCACAGTTTGTCTGAGACAAGATGAGAGAGTTTCTCTCCAAACGTGCAAATATTGCCCTGGATGCAGCTGCTAGTTCGGAAGATGCTCTCTTGAAACATAAGGAATCTTTTTCAGCTGAACCATAATTATTTCTAATCTCTGAACAGAGAAGCAGATGAGGGCTGCAAAAAGCCCTTGGAACGATTGCTTAACATCTGGCAAGAAAGGAGCGTGTATGGCAGTGAGTTCATACAGCAGCTGAAGCTTTCTATGGAAGACTCCAATAGCCCCCAAACGAAAGGTAAATGTGTATTGCTGTTGTTGCACGCTTTACTTTGTTTTCTAAACTGGTACACGTTTCACTGAAAGTGCTGTGGGGAACTGAGCTCTGGGCTTCTGCAGCTGCGTTGTTGCCAGAGCTGGTGTGGAGATCCTTTGGGATTGTCCTGAGAGAAGGCTCAGTTTCGTTAAACCCGCAGTTCCAGTCTGCGAGCGTGTTGCCTGGCGGCTGGCGGTGAGCTGCACTGCAGGCAGCGTGCGCTGGTGCGGACGGGATACTGCCGGGCTGCCCGTCGGAGTGCAGGCCAGTGGGGTGCGGGGAGCTGTTGTGTCTGCCTTGAGAGCTGAAATTGTCCCACTCTGCACCTCTGAGAGTGATGATCTGGGTTATCATAATGGCTTATTCGGTATTGTTAGTGCTTTCATTCTCGTATTAATTTTTTTCTTTTGCATAGTTAGTGTATTTTATTATGATTCAGCAAGGACTTTTTAATAATTGCAGGCTGGAATATATGCCCAGAAGCTTGTCTGGTTCTTTTTTTGCATACACTAGCTGGTGTCATTTGTGCGAAAACAATAACCTTGCATCATTTAACATCGTTAGAACATCATGGTTGTAGCCGTATTTTTGCATGAGACAGATGTGAGAAAGTGGGCATCAGCTTCCTGCACTTCCTGTGCTTTTAGTCTGCTTTGGCAGAGACTGCCTCTTCTACAGCACCTGAAAATACTGAACTGGTAGTGCTGTAATGAAAAGGGGGGAGCAGTAGGATGCCTAAAACATGGAAGGTGAGTGTCATGAAAGATGAAGAGGGTTCCGGTGAGGGGAATATTTGTCCACTTTGTAGCTGCAGGAAGTGTCAGTGTGTTCACATTAGCTAAAATCACATTGCTGCTGTGACCAGATTTTGCTCTGTTCCCCACAGAGGTGCAATACTTTGTGAGGGATTTGGCTTAGTCATTAGTGAAGTGCTCTTATGCCCTTCTTAGGGGGTGAAAATAAGCAAGATACATCTCCTGGAGCTGGTAATTAATACAGAATTGATACATGAAGACATGAGCATTAATATGGAATATGCATGTGAAGACATAAGCTTATGGCTGTAGTTTTGTGGTTTTTAATGTGCTTCTCCAGGCAAAATTACTGGCTGGGTGCTTTAGCAGCCTACAACAGAGACTGTCCTACCTACCATAATTGAAGTATGACGTTCGGAAGGTGTTGCCATTTCTTCCCCAAATTCTGGGACCCCACCTGGGCTGACCGAAGGGGTTGTCTCTTCATGTCGGGGCAGGGGGCGTCTCTGCTGTGGGTGGTGGGAGGTGTGTGGTCCCTGTGGGACAGCTCACGCTGTCGGGGTGCAATGGGTAGGACGCCTGTTTGTCAGGAGAGGACAGAATTTACATGCCTGAATTCCTGTTGAACCGATTAACTGAGGATTTGAAACTGTTAATTTAAGGTACATAGGAAGTGTTTCACAAGTGTTTAAGCATCTGAGTAGCTAAGCAAAGCGATGCTGTGTGTCCAGGAAACACCCTGGAGATTTGCTGGTGAAGTGGCAACCAGCGCGTGCTTGGTGTCCTCCTGCCTTCGGCTGCTGGTGGCAATCAGTCCTGACTGCTGTCTTCTGAACTCAAACCTGTTTGTACAAAATCAGACCCTTCCTAAATGTAACAGATCTTTGTCTGTGGGAAACAGAATGAAGAAATACAAATGTTTTATGAACTGCTGTGTGCACAGCTTCGCTTGGCAAGGAACTTAGTTTTTTGTCTGGGTGATTGGAGCTATTAGTGCAGTATCTTTAGTTGGAGAACAGCTCAAGCCTTTTCATGAGTGTGAACATTGTTGCCGCCTTGTTAATTCATTGGAAAAAGAAATTTTGATTTTTTTTTTTTTTTTTTTTTACTAAGAGAAAAAGAAATTTGAAAAACCCAACGAGGATCTCTTTAGCTTTTCTCCTTGTTTTGGCTTGTTTTCAAATTAGCTTCATAATGGTAAGAGCTAGTTTCACATGGGAATTTTATGGGTTTTGAAGAGAAAACTGGTGTTTGTCCAGTTTCTGGTGGGCAGCTATATGTTGCAGAAGGCTTTGTGGTAGTTACTCTATTCAGTTTTCAAACAGGTGAACATAAGCAAGATGCACAATAATGTATCTTGTTTTGCAGATAAAACGTTTACCATAAAAGTGGAAAACCATAGTGCACCGCTCCTCCAAAGCCTTTCTGACCTCCTGGGTTTGTGAATACCCCAGGTATACACAGCTGAGAAGTAGGTGGCATTAGTGTTTTAGATTGGTGCCAGGCTGTGCCATTAAAACAAAATTTTGGAGCTCCTTCAGGGTATCTGGTGCTGTGATGATGAGTATTCTTTTCTTCAGCCTGAGGGATGGCAACAAGTCTTTGCAGGTGGTTCTCTACGGCTTTTTCTTACTGCATGTCTGAAATGCCTGGGCTGGTGGGTGCCGCTTGCTGCACGGGGCGGCTCTGCTCGGGCTGCAGAGCACCCGTTGCACTGAGAGTTGTGAAGCTTCCCAGGATAAAGCCGATCCCTGTATCGGTGAGGAAGGACATCTTTAAAGCTGATCGGTGTGTGTTTCAGTGGTACAGCTTATTTCTTGTTTCGTTAGCAGCAGAGCCTTGGGTGAGTGCGTAGCAGTTCAGCTGGTGGCACGTGCTGAGTTCCTGCCGGGGGATGGGATCGATTGCGCAAATAACGAAGCTTTCCCTTCAGAGCGCCGAGGGGTACCGGCCCTTCCGAAGCGTTGTATTCCCCAGTTTTTACTTCCTCAGTGATGCAGCTCACTGCCATATTTTAGTACTTCAGGTTCCTTAAGGAAATATGCATATACATGGAAATGAGCTTTTGAATATTGATACCTTATTTATATTGTTTAACTCTGAATGTACTCATTAAGCTTTCATTTGCTTTTTCATTTTAATTTTGTTGTTATGAGAAGGTTTCTTTTTACAAGCAATAGGGAGTAGAAGAACCACCCGTTTACCTAAAGCCTTGGAAAACTAGGTCTGTAGGGATTTGGTGTAAGATCCTTTAGGTAATATAACCCACGTAGCTGGCGTTTGCTGTTCGTTGTCTTTGTAATAAGCAGTTGAAGGAAGTCCTTGAATGTGCTGTGATGTAGGAGCATCACACTGTAACACAGAACTGAACTGCTGCCCAGCTGCTCTGACTGTGTTTGTATTGCAAATCCCCCATATTGAAATAAGGAGAAAACATCAGGCAGGAGAGCAGGCAGGGCTGCTTCCGGGAGTACCTGAAATAAAGGCACCTGGGGACAGGACCGTTGTGTAATTTTGGAGCACATCAACTCCAGTTCTGCTGGACCTAGGAGAGGCTGCCAACAAATGTATGTTGTAATGAGAACTTAAGCAGTCGTGACTTGTGTACCCCCAAGGAAACAGAGGGTTAGGAGAGCTGGAGGGTACACTGCACCCTCAGGTTTCTCTGATTTTGTTCTTCTCTGTCTTCTGGTGCTCTGTCGTGGTCTTCTGTTTTCTCTAGGAAAGCTGGCGGTGTTTTGTCGTAAATCACTTCCGAAAGCGCCTTTCCTCTAAGTTTGTGCAGGTTGCTGAACCCTGGTGTTTGGAACCTAAACCCTACAAAAGTTTAGTTGTAGTTGTAATTTTGGGAGGCTTATTTGAGGCTTATTTTTTATGATGATGATTAAGGATGAAAGCCCTCCCAACACATAAAAGACCACTTAAATTCAGCTGGCCTGCCTCGCAAGGGAACAGTTACCTGTAGAACTTTGGGGGCAGAACCCCCTGTGTTACAGGGTTGCCTCTTTTTCTAGAGCTACAGTGTCTGTTAAGTGGGGTTTCCTTGCATGTTTCCCTGTGGACAGAAGTTTCTGCTCATGCAACTTGTCATCTTAACTGTGCACTTAATGATCAGAAAAGGCACATGATGTAGCTGTGCCAAGACTGATACATCCTTATGTGAATTAAGGACTATTTTAAAAAAAAATTTGAACCCATTGCGTAGTTCCCTCCAGTGAAAAGCATTATCTACATGGAGAGTTCCTTACCATGTGGTGTGGCTGCTTCTTGAATGAGGAGATGAGCATAACAAAGTCCTCACGAGACAAGATAATGTTTGTTTTATATTGCCTTGAGATTAAAAAAAAAACCAACCTGTAAAAACACTGTTTTTAACAGAACAGATTTTTAAACTCCTAGTTATCTTTTTGAACATGTGTGTACAGATTCCACGGTTGGTTTCTATTTACTGTACATATGAGCCTGGGGTCAAATCAAAGAAGCCTGTTCACCTCTAAAACCAGTCCTCGAGAGATGAGAACAAAAAGGTGAACACCCTGGGTGGGAAGATCTCCCACACTGCCAGCGTACAGGAAGAGCTCACACTTTGTCACTGAGGTCTTTGACACTGTAAGCTTCCTCAAGCTTGGAGATGGTTTGAAGGCTGAAAAGTTGGTGGAGAAATACCTTTACAAGTCTCTGTGGACACTGCAACAGCAAGATCAACAACCTGGAGTTTCACTGCAGAGCTGTCATGACAGCAGTTGCCTGTCATTTTGGAGAAACGAGGGCTTTTAGAGAGCAATTCAATTTCTGAGCTGTGAAGACGACCCCAGTGAAGCAGGAAAACTGACTTCATCTTAGTAGCGGCTTCTCTGTCTTCTTTGTGTCCGTGTCGAGAATGGGCTCTTGATTTTCTGGAAGAAGCTGTCCATATTCTACAAAGATACCTTTCAGAAGATGTGTGGTACATACCGTTGTTGAATTCTGATCAGTTTTAGATGGTCTTAATGCTTTCTTTCCCCTTGTTGGATTTGACAGGCTTTTTCAGAAGTGTAGGCTGCAGTGGTTAAATTACCCCTGGGTAGCAGGTTTTGAAGCCTACCCAGGCAGAGTGTGTTGTTATTTATGCCCTGCTTCCTATTCTCTTTCAGGGGTCCTGTTGCACCACATGCTTTTAAATTTGAAAATAAGCATGGGGTGTTTTTTTCTGTTTTAATGAAATGGGGGTGACATTTCTAGGATTCCTCAGTGAGGTTTGCTGCTGCCCCTGTATACCAATGCCAATGAAAAAGTGCAGCAGTCCACGTTATGTCGTGAGACTCTTGCCCCAAGTGCTCCTTCAAGGCTGGCTGCTTGGTCTGTGCTCCTCTGTCTGCTGGCCGCTTTCTCCGGGCAGGCGCTGTGCTCGCGGAGCGGCCTCCCTGCGGGTAGGCCAGCTGCGGCTGGCGCCTGGCACTGCAGGCGGTCGTGGCAGGAATAGCTCCTCAGCAATTTGAATCCCCGTTCTCACTTTCGCTTTCACTTCTGTGCACACTACCGTCATACGCGCTCTGTAGATTATCTCGTGTTTATCCTGCGTTGGTTAATTACTTTATGATAGGTACACACAAGTGCTGAATGTTGATGGCGTGGGTTGTTGAGCTGTGTAACTTTAAATGCTCTCTTTGGCCGTTTTGTCGTCTGCACAGCTCCTGTTCAGCTCGGCTCGTGTCTTTTGCAGGCCTTGGTGGTCAGCAGCCATTTTCCTTGTTGATCTGATATCGTAGTTCCGTGGAGTCAGATTATCAAGCACTCTATTACATCCATTGTATACATATGAAACTTAGGCTGTACCTTTTTCTAGCCTAGAGCTTTAGCATATATCAGATAATTCATTTCATTCAGGGTAACTATGTTTTCTGGGTTTTTTGCCTTCCATTGAGTACATCTGTTCCCTAACAGAGGGGCGTTTGTGTCTGCCTCGTGCAGGTTGCTATTTCCCCACACAAGCAGGGTGTGAGGCACCTCTGACTTTCTCTCCATTAAAATAAAGTTTTTTCAGATATGTTCCACCTGACAAGGCAGGCAAAATTCTGTGTTTCAGTACGGACCTTTCTCTTTGCTTCCTCATTAGACTTGGGCAGACTGATTTAATTTTAAATCAAGAGTGATCTTGGCTTTTCCTGTGAATCAAAGTATATGCAGGCTCTTTCCCCTGAACTCCGTGATTATCTTGTCAAGACTTGGTTCCATTGAAAAGATGTTCTCAAGACTGTCCAGAGCTTGCTTTCAATTTACCCTGGCTCTTACAAATATTGGTGGCAAGCCTGAAAAATGATCCATCTTCTGAAGGTTCTGTAACTGCTTCAAAGGCTGCGTTAAGACTTCTGACTCATTCAATAAGCTGTCTCTTCCCTTTCAAGCTAAGGTACACTACACTGAAGTTCATGTAACCAGCAGTGTCTTGCTTTATGAAATCCTCATTTCTGAAGTGTTAAAGGTTACCTGCTTGGAGATCGGTTTGTGCTCTGACCATTGCTATTGTTGCTGTCACATCGTAGAGTTTTAGTGCTGTCCTGAAGTCTTTATTTTGATGGAAGAGTGGAAGGTTGAATAACCAGCAGTTGTTCAGTTGATTGTGGGACTGCAGTGAGCGTATACTTGGTGCAAAAAGATAACTTGAATTTCTTCTGTCCATGTGTATCCTAGCATCAATGCTTCATTTCTACTGGTAGAAATCCTTACCTGCATACATGGTGTTAACCAGAGAGTCTGAGCAGGGATGAAGACCTGCCTTGTATTGATAGCTTGGACGTTTGATTGCCTTTCCTGCTTCCAGTGTAGGAGGCACGGATATGCAGACTGTGCACACTGCTGATGTGAAGACTATATCCTTGTGCTTGCATGTGCAGAGATACGTGTGTGGGCAAACCCAACCTTTTATTGCTGTTTTGCGTTTGAGTGTTTGGAATATGATGCCAACAGCAGAGTCCAGCTGTGGTCATCTTCTCTTCAGAGAGCTGAATCATCAGAGCATCTGGTACAGTTTTTTGAAGTAGAGATAGTTAAGGTGGGCAGATCTGGCACCCAAATGAGTTGCTCATATGTGTCTTTAGTTGCAGAGGAGAAGAAGTCTTTAAAGCGGACTTTTCAGCAAATACAAGAGGAGGAAGATGATGATTACCCCGGGAGCTACTCACCCCAAGACCCTAGTGCTGGGCCGCTGCTGGTACGTGGGACGGGCTGAGGGTGGGAGCAGGTCTGAAGCCACCTCCCGTGTGGTCCAGCCACGAGGTGGAGCTGCCAACAAGTGAAAGCCTTTGGATGGAGCCATCCCTTGGGGGTTGAGGGGTCCACGTGAGGTGGAACCCATTCTTTTTTCCCATTGAAACACTGTGCTGCTTCTGAGTGATTTCAGATAGCCTAAGCCGAAGTTGGAGTAGTGGTACCAGTAAAGAATCTCAAAGGAGATTCTGCTAGGAGAACAGGCCATATTTTAAAATTCTTTCCAAGATCTGTGCGTAATCTCTCAAAGCCAAAGTTGTAGCACAATTAAAACTTAATTATTTTTTTTGTAGGATGTCTCTCTCCATGAGCTATTAAAAAGCTCAGCCTTTGGTAGATTTGTATGGTGTTGGCTGGGAAAACGAGTTCTGAAGAGTTTGTTTTGAGGCTGACATGTTAGTGGTGGGGAAATAGTAGGAATGAAATAGAGGATCATTCTGACCATTTGAGGCTACAAAATGAACATATGTTACACCATTGTCTATTTGAAGAGGATAAAAAATTACACCATCCATCTGGAAGACTGTAAACATGAAAAATAAAAATAAACAGTCGTCAAGCAAATAAGTGAGATTTTTTTGTTGTTTTTACCTCCAGATGCCTTGCAGCTTATGGTTTCTTTTGATGATAAGCATTGTGTTTGTTACTGTTGGAAAGCATTAGCAGTTTGCAAAGAAGCAGTAAATACTAGGTAATGGACACCTTTATTTTTCAGATTAAAAATATATTTAGTGAATATTTATTCAGTGTTTTTATTAATTTTCAAACAATTAAAATGTGGTTTAAACATCAGTGGTGTTGTTTATAGGGCTAGTTGTTCCAGTTTCAAAAACCTCCCATTAAAACTCACGTATTTTTAAAACAAAGAAACGACACTTTTTTCCTTCCTGTTCAGGGAGTCTCTCTTTCTCCTCTTTTTATTTTTTTGAGCAGGGAGGAAATGTGGTGTGTTGGGGAGGTCGTCTTAAGGCTGTGCTCATCCATGTCCTTTTCAAGCTGGGATACGTGTGGAGCGTACTCATTTAAACAGACACATCTTTCCTCAAGGCACTCAGACCAGCTGAGCTGAGGCTGGGGGGTACAGTGGAGTCCAGTTTAATCGCAGATTGCAGGGTGCTTCCAGAGAGCCAGCTGAGCTAAGGGAGGACAGCAAAGGCCTTGCAAAATCAGGACAGTATAAAGTTTGCTGTAACAGGGATGGCTTTCATTGTCGTCCGAGCTTATGGTAGGTAACCAGTTACAAAATTCTGAATCTTATAAAGACGGAAGTCTGACAGAGTTTTGTCTGGACTGATGCAGGTTTGGTTTTGTTTGGGTTTTGTTTGCTGTGGCAGAGTGCACCTTTGGAATAGAACAAAGGTGCCCGTACGTTCCTGCCAGTCGAAGAGAAGGTGTCAGGGATGCTCAGCTGAAAGATAGAGTCCCAGTTTGATGCAACACAAGGGGCTGATGGTTGTTTCTCAGACTGGTGCGGTCGTGTGCTTTTCAGCTTTGTCTTAAATGACACTTCTCTTAACTGGAATGAGAAGTTTTCCGCTGCAGAGTCGTGAAAACGATGATGCTACTGTAATTATGCACAAGTTCCTAAACACTGGGATAGTGTAAACTTAGTGACTACTCTCTGTGTTAGGAAGAAACAGTTTTAAAATTACTTGAAGAAAATATTCCAGAAATTGTTGCTGTCAGAGGTAGGTGACCTCAGATGCAGTGGCCATGTCCGCAGGAAAGTTACCTGGTTCTAACGTTGGCTGACTTGTCTTGTAGACCGAGGATTTGATCAAAGCCCTTCAAGACCTGGAAAATGCAGCGTCAGGAGATGCAACGGTGCGGCAAAAAATTGCCTCCCTGCCTCAGGAAGTTCAAGATGTTTCATTACTGGAGAAAATTACAGGTATGAAACTGGAAGATGAATGAACATGGGTCCAAACAGTAACTCAGAAGTCGAAGGTTTTTTTTTCTTTAAACAATCACAATGTGTGTTGGAGAATTCCTGCTTTTGTGTCCTTGTTTTGTAGCTTTTGGGTAATCAATGGAGAACAATCATGTGGAGTAAAATTGAAGATGAATCTTGCGTAGCTTCTTCCATTTTTTTGGCTTGGACCAAGGCTTTTGTACTTGGAGAGCATCAACAGCATTTTGCAAGAACGTAGAGGAAATAGAGGCAGAGTTCTCAAATGGAGGTGTCTGATTTTGAACACTTTGACTGTTAGATATTTTCTAGTTTTATCAGGCAGTGCTGAGTACACACATACTTCTTGATTGCTACAGAAAAGGAAACTCACTACCCCAGTTAGTCTGTCAGCCTTTGTTTAAATGGAATTTTGCAGTTGGTTACAATTGCAATTTAGAGGTTGAACTTACTTGACTCTTGGTCCTGGAAGTAGTTTTAATTTAGAACTCACTATGGACTGCCACTTATTCAGTCCTTTATAATATAGAATCATAGAATGGTAAGGGTTGGAAGGGACCTCAAGGATCATCTGGTTCCAGGTGTCCAACTAGCGTGCAGTTCATGTTTGCTTGTATTGTACATTAGGAGTTATTCAGAGAATGGTAAGGGTTGGAAGGGACCTCAAGGATCATCTGGTTCCAGGTGTCCAACTAGCGTGCAGTTCATGTTTGCTTGTATTGTACATTAGGAGTTATTCAGAGAAAAGAGGAATTAAAAAGTGCACACCATGTTTAAACATGAAAACCACCAGATTTGTTTAACTGAATTTTGAAAGTGCAGCCTAAAGTTTTAGTTTAATTAACCTGCTGATAGAGGCTAACTTCATAGATTTATTTCCCCCCCCTTCCCCAGTCACTGACGTCTCTGTAAGGATAAAATGCGGTCAGTCATGTCAGTGTCTAAAAGCCACCCTTCCTGGGTGGTTAGTCCTGCCTGGGTGCTTTATATCCCTTGTGTGAAGAGCTCTTATTTTCCTGCCAAGCCGGAAGGTATTTATGGATGAGGTGTTACTGTGCATGTGGCTGTGGGCCGTAGCCCTACTGTCAAAGGTAAAGTTTTAAACTTTGTCCTCTAAACTTTCCAACGCTTTTGCATGTAGACAAAGAGGCAGCGGAACGGCTGTCGAAGACGGTGGACGAAGCATGCCTGTTACTAGCAGAGTACAATGGCCGGCTGGCGGCAGAGCTGGAGGACCGGCGCCAGCTGGCACGCATGCTGATCGAGTACACCCAGAACCAGAAGGATGTACTGACAGAGAAGGAGAAGAAGCTAGAAGTGAGTACTGACTACGCTGGGGCTGGCAAGCCGATTCCCTTACCAAATGCTCCCACTTGACTCCTGATCTATGTGTTTCTCTCCAGGGAGATGATTCTAGGTGTTATCTTTACCTCTGGAGTAAAACGGGGGTCTGAAAGCGGTGTACACACTCTGGAGGAGACAGATGTGTTCTGCTGTTCCATGTAGTATGTTTTTAATACACCTGGACATCTCCAGAACTCAATACTTTTTAAAGAAAAATAGGCTTGCCTAAAAAAGTTTCTTCAAATTTACTCTACATTTTATGAAATCCCCATTTCCAAGACGTCAACCTCCCTTTGCCGTAATTAGCTGGGTTTTTTGTTGGTTGGGGTTTTGTTGTTACTCTTTTGCTTATAGTTGGGTGTCCCTCATCTGCCTTCCCAGCCCCTGCTTGATAAGGGGATGCAGTTTAAAGGAGATCTTCTGGTATCCATCCTTCAACAGCCACTCTTACCTGCAGCTTCTGTGATGGAGTGTAAACGGGGCTGGTACGGAGAGGCGCTGGCTTGCATCTTCTGCCCAAGCTCCCTCGATCAGGGAGGGCAGGACGCTGTAGAGTGAGCCGACGCTGACGGGGCCTGAGCCCCAGCTGCACGTCCTAGAGCAAGTGCAGGGGCTGTGGCGGCCAGCCGTTCGTCTGAAATGTTCTTTCTCGGAGCAAATTCTTTCAGCAGCGCATCTTGGGACTAGTGTGGAAGTTTAATTAATGATTGTGGTTGTATGTCACTCTGCCATCTGTTAAACTGCCCCGTGGCGGCACATTAAGGGCTTCCTCCGCGCTGTCGGCTGCTGGTTGTTGTGAGCAGCTGTTGCTGGGTGGGACGTGAGTTGCTGTAGAGGACAAAATCTTCTGGAAGGAGACTGCTGTAGCGATGGCAGGCTCTGTTTACTCTCATGACAAACCTAATCCTCTGACAGCTAGGCAACATTGTTCTGAGGTACATTTAATTTTGAATGTTTTCTTTGTTATGTGTGTTTATACTAGAGTTTCTCAATGTCTTGTGACTGTGAACATGTTGCTTTTCCAGAGCAACGTTTATTCCAAAGCAGCCAGACAAGTGCTGATGCTGCATTCACAATTAGTGCGGATAGTTAATAATTCTGTTAGCTTGTTTAGCTTGAATTTCTTCAAGCATAGCGTCTTTCTTACGACTGACTCATTAAAAGACACTTTCAGACATGGATATGAAAGATGCCAGAAAACCAAATCCTGCTTGGCACCGGATTTGTTTGCTGAATACCAGTGGAAGTCTTGGATCAGGTTTTTTTCCTTGCTGAAAGAAGGACACCTGTCTAGTAGAAACATGTATCTGTGTGTGTATAAAAATATGTAAATGAGAGACAAGTTGCTGTTTACTTTTTTTGAAAAAAGCAAGAAGTAGGTAGCAAAATGCTGCAAGCAGTGTTTTAAAAAGCTCAGGACAGTCCATGAATTTGAGTCAGTTTGAGACGGTGAAATTAAGAAATTCACAATGACAACATTAAATTAAAGTTTCTAGTGGACTAGCTGAAATGTTGTGATCATTGTGTTGGGTTTTGTTTCCTTTTGGTCAGGAGTGTTGCTTGAAAATTGCAACTCTGGCAGAGGCTGAAATGTAATCCTGGAAATTTGGCGGCTCACTGGTTGAGCTGCTTTGTTAATAGGAATAATCCTGCTGATGGCAACAGGGCAGGTTGCTGGTCCACCGTGAAGTGTAAACACATTCCTTAATCTGTTGGTTACTAAGGAATGAGCTTCTTAAATATCTGTTCAGGTTGGCATCTTTGTCATTCTGCCAGAACAAGGTGGTCTTAATGCTGTAGAAGTCTCAAAACGAGTTGCGGGAAGGGCCACTCGCTAGTACTTGCTTGACGTGAAGGCACAATTCATATTCATGTCAAATCTTATATATTGCCTGATTAAAGCATTCCATTGTTGTGGAGTTGTAGAGGGTTAATAAACAGGGGAAGATGCTGGTTACAGATGTGGCGGGCCATATCTGCTCATCAGTTTTGTTGGAGTCTGTGATGTTCCGCAGTAACGTCACTGATAAGCCTGGATTTTGCTTTGTAGTGCTAATAAGCATTTTAATAGAAGGATCTGAAATTCTTGTAGCAATTAAGAATGTATTAAAAAACAAAACATTTACTCAAGCAAAGACCGCAGTAGGAAAATAACTTAAAACAATCTAATTTTAGTTATCTTCTCATTGTATGCTTTGCTCTCTCAAGGTATCTTTTCCAGAATCTTTGGTACTATTGACTGTGAGTTTTTTCTCTTGTGAACGAAGTTTCCTGACTCTCAGCTGAGATGGTGTTTTGAGATAGAAGCTGGGTTGTTTACTTCGCTGTCCTCATCCAGCCAAGGCTGCTAGCTGGGGAAGGGGTTTCTGTCAGTAATATGAGTCGGGGCTTTATTTTAAGATATGGAAATGTCTGATTTGGAAATCACTGTGGATATTTCTTGCGTTTTATTTACTCGCAAAGCAAAGCCTTTCACTATGATAGTAATGAAAGCAGCTAATCTACATCTTTGGAAAAGCGGCTTTTGTAGTCGAAAGAGCTGTGGTTGTTTACTAATCCTATTAATACTGTCCCTCATGAATAACACAGCACATTCTCAAAACATATACACAAACACAGTGCATTTATGTCTAGTGGGCTGATGCTCAAAATACTTTGCAATGTCAAAATGCTGGGACACAGAGCTCCTGTCATCAGCTGTGGAAAAGCTGTTGAATTAAAGGACAATATCCTGGAAAGGTGGTCTTGGAGAATGAATTGCACTTCAGCACGGAGAAAGGCTGGCGTGAGTAGGGAGTGAAACGACGTAGTGCTAAGAAGCGCTGGTGGTTTGGAGGGAGAAAGCTGGCACAGAGGCTGAAGATCATAACATGTGGACAAACTCTGCTTTTAAGGTAGCGATGGAAAAAATTGAAAGTGTATTAATTAGGTTTACTTTATTGGGTGGGTGTGATAATTTGATTGTCGTCTAAAAGCTCTTAGAAAAAGGTAGAATTCCTTTCATTCTGGCAATCAGCTGCAGAGCAAAATTGGCTGAACCAAAGCTGATGCTGAACAAGGCATATATTTTTAAGGGTAAATATTCCTTAGGTTAAGTTACTGAAAAGAATGGTGGGTCCTGCTGTTCAGCATCTGAACACTGAATTTCTTTTTAAACGGTGCTTTGTCTCAGTCAGAAATTGTGGGCTTGATACTGCAGCTGCTGTGTGATCATCCCTGGCCTGGACTGGATCAGAGTCGGCCTAGACTTTCACAATCGGTGTCAGGAAATAAATCCATTTTCAGACAGACATAGAAACAAGAACCGGTGTTTCTGTAAGAGTGAGATAAGGTGTCTCTGTATCTCACGTGAGTACTGAACTTCCAATGGACCTTCTCTGATTTGTGTTGTTTTTGGCCATGACTGCCCCTGTTACAGTTAGGGTACAGTCAGCTGGGGAGGCTTTTTGTCCTTCAGCGCCCGGGTCTGCAGGGTGTCAAGGGGGAGCGTTGTCGCTTGAAGCTGGTGTGCTCTTCCTGTGTGCGTGGCAGGCAAGTAGAACAAATCCCGGGGATCAAGTTGTGTAAAACTGAAATGTCGTGCGGAGATGTCCGGGAGAACACTCCCAGCTGGTGTAGCTGGGGGCTCCAGTGAAGTCAACTGAACGGACGGGACTGCAAGAATCAGGCGTGAGTAGTGCTAGAAAATGGCAGATCGTGTGGGAGCTGTATGGGTGTCTAAAATAACTGGTGACAGTAGCAAATTTGGAGTAAGGGGAGAGTGAGTTATTTTAATCTAATTGGGAGAAGAGAGAGGAGAATGTGCATTCAGAATTTGTGCTTTGATTTGCAGTCAGTGATGCTGAGTTCTTCCCCGTGCCCTCTGTGTCTTCCGTACCTGCGCTGGCAGGTGGCACGGGGAGCATGCCGTGGTAGATCCAGCGCGGATCTGTGGCGCAGTCTGTGTGTGCCGAGACAGACAAGTGGGTGTTTGTTTGTGTGCATATGCATATGTAAATATAAAGAACATACTCTATTTAAGATCTGGTTTAGGGGAAACTTTCTGATTGCTGACTGCACCTGAAAAATTTTGACTTTAAATCCTGCTGAGAGCTGTGGGGGTTTTTAGATGTTCGTGGCTTTTAATATTCATGGCTTCAAGGCACCTTTAATAAGGTGTTGAAGCTGTGGCCATACGAATTTGCAAACTTTCTTTGATAATGCATCTGTGCAGGATGAAGCACAGTCTCATTTGAGGTGTTCTGGACTGCTGGGCACCGCACGTTTTCTTGAAATACGATTTAGTTCAGCGGGTTAATACGCAGTTTATTACTGTGTTGCTTCCACTGCTTAGGTTTTTGTTGCATGTCACTGTCGGCACGCCTTTGCGGCTGCTGCTTTCCTCCCAGACAAGAATTCTGGGGTGGTGGTGCATTCATGGCAGTGGTCTCAGCAGGGGACAAGAGGTGAAGTTTTAGTTTTTCAGCCAGGAGACAAAAATGGCAGTATTTTACAGGCGTGCCAGCAGCAGGAGGTAGCTGTGGGACGCAGGCAGCACGGGGAGGTCTCCTGCTCCACGCCCTGGGCAGGGCCAGAAGCTCCTGAACAGGAGCACCCGGGCAAAGTGTGTCACGCTCCGGTCTGTAAAACTGCACTGCTGATGGACGTGGCAGAAAGCGACTAAGGGTACCTCAGTGTTTCCAGCTGTGGGGCGGTCGTGCCTTTGGGAGTGGGATGAGGAGGAAGGCTGTGTCGTAGCCGTCCGATAAACTGACATTGCAGGGAACCTGGTGCTGTTGCGTGGTGCATGGCTCGAGGCGACAGAGGTGTTCCTTTGCACAATGCAAACGCAGAATTCCTTCACTTTGTAGTATTTGTAGGCATTCATAATTATAGTAATACTGCAAATGAAACCATACTGAAAAAAATAAAAGCAAATAAAAATCATCCACTATTAATACATGATGGTTTTATGCATATTACGGAAGTGAGCC